ATTTTCCAGCAAGACGTGGCGGGCGAGAATAAGAGGGTGTCTTGGGCTGGCCTTGACACGGAGCGAGGGACCTCGAGGAGATCACGGCCCTCCTTATAGGACCCCGCCGTGACAACCTGCCTTTGAAAATTAGTTCTCATTAAAAAAATTGCCAGATGGGGACCCCAGAAACAAGTGTTGTACAAAATGGCATCTTGAAAAGTAACTATGTTAATCCATATGTAGTGGTTACCAAAATAAATAAAGGAGCGTAGTTAACTTGGCTGCATAAACCAAATTAGTTGTATGAAGACCTGATAAAAACTCATACATGGACGTTAGAATTCCTCTCTGATTTGATAGATCTAACATGTTCAGATAGTTTTAGAAAAATGGCATAGTAATGAAGAAGCAGGAAAACCAAACTTCATCCTCTAGTGATGAGGAGTTGCCTTAAGATGACATGTAAAGACAGCAGACTTTTATTCCAGAAACAAGACAAACTGTGAGAAACTAATTGTTCAGTCCACAAAATATAAATACTGCAAATAAAATGTTTAAACTTAGAAGCTATTAATGTGTGTTCCTCTCCTTCCCTCCTTTTGGCATTTGAGCTCTAGTTCTTGATGGCCTTTGTAAAGTTGTTGTCCCTGAAATAGATGGTAGGACTGGTCAAAATAAGACAGCTTGTACCTGTTCTAGAGTGTACCTATTCAAATGCATGCTCTTTTGAACACTTAAAAATTTTCCATTAGAACAAGGGTCCTGAGCCTTGAAGCTCATAAGGGAAGGATAGTATTTCCTGTTTTCTAATATCTGGTCCAAAGCATACTTTGAGTAATGATTCAGAAGTTGAATATGAATAATTTGACTTGTAACCGTGATTCCTTTTTGAAGAGCAGGATATTAGAGATAATTGAGCGTTAGACCTTTATGGAACCTTTTTTGTTGTTGTTGTTTTGGTCTTAACATCAAGCTGGTGCCTGCAGAATGTCTTAAAAATGTAAGCTGTTTGTTTCTTCAATTCTGCTTTTGTCTACTTAGTGATTCTGACAAAAATGTCTTCAGATGCTTGTGCGAAAAAGGCAGTATTTTGCCAGAATATTTCCCTATTTCAGATATTTTTATATGACAAAACTAGCTTGGATTTAAGGGTAGCTGGCTGGTAGTGAAAGCTGAATTTTCCAGTACAATACAGCATCCTCCTTGAGGAATCCAAAGAAGTTTCCTGTAATTTACGAATGGGGGAAAATGTGGCACTGCAGTAGATCTCCAGTAACTGTTTACTTTTAAATAGCTTTAAGTGGCTTGGTGCAAGGAGCTTGCCTTCTTTCTCCTATGTAAATTCATCTTATTGAAGCTTCTGATACTGATTTTATGTACATCTAATCCCAAGGGACTGACCTGGCCCTGGTCCTATAATTTGACATCTGAAGGTAGACCGTTGTGCCCATTTAAACTTCACAAAGTTAAGGCTCTGTGAGAGACCTAGTGGGTCGTTTGTGTTAAATGAATTGCAGGATCAGGGCCTTGTAGACTTTGCCCATTTACTAAATCTGTGGCCGCTTGGAAATTGATAGATTGCAAAGCAAATGGGTTATAGTTGATCGGGTGTGGACTAAGTTCCAGACTATATTGCTACCAAGCTGAAATGCTATACCAAATGCAGTTGAGGTTTAGAAGTTATATTTGGCTTGGATTCATTATATAGCATAGGGGTTAATTAAAAATATTCCAAAATCCTTTTTTCCTCCTCAGGACAGAGGGAAAACTTTTGTTTTTACTTTCTTTTACTTAACCGTTTACAAGATTTTTTTTTTTTTTTTAAATTTGGGATTTAAAAAAGATTTTTCAGTCAAACATCTTGGAAAATGCTAAAGAAGCAATTAGGTATGCATTATGCGTTCTTGAAGGAAAAAAACCTAATAAGCAGATATTTACAGTGAAATTAAATATTCAGGTAAAATAAAATAAAAATACTTGGTAAATTTAATGGTTTAGGATTTCTCCTTTGCTTTCATGGCAAAAGGTGGATTCCTGCCCTTGTTTTCTATGGATGGCACAAGTCTGAAATGTTCCTAAGAGAGGCTGCAGTTACAGGAGCAAATTCTTTTTGACCGGGTATTTAACATTTTGACAAAAGCTTTATTTAGAATCCTGGACACCAGATAGTTAGGGTCCTATCACATGTAGCTGGAAGGTAAACTCCTGCACACAGAGCTGTTCTTAGTATGTAACTTACCAAGTTCCAAGACAATAGTTTGCTGAAGGTAGAGGCAGAAGACATGCTCATTCATCTTTTTATTTAAAAAATGAAATAGTAGTTTAAATTAAACATGGGGACTCTAAAGGCCAAAACATTAGTTGTGGCTTTATTTCAGGCTTCTAATTCACTTGCATCAGAATTTTTCACTGCTTGTGAAAAAAACTTCAAAAAGGGTGAAAGCTCCCTAGGTAACTGAATACAATGGCTTATTTAGATTCTGTCTCTGAGCAGTACTTTAACCACATTTTAGTTGGGCTCAGATCCACAAAAGGAATTCAGTATGATAATACTGAGGATCTCTGTACTGAGCTCCACAAGTAGAATTTAGAACCCCAAGTTAGGTGCTGAGGTTCCTATCCAGTGACTTTATTTTACGGAAGCTAGCACACTTGAAAAGAGGATGCTCTGAGTAGCCAGTAGGAAATGTTAAAGAAGCACCTTTCTATTTCATAGATTTCATAGCCATTAGGGCTGGAAAGGACCTCAAAGATCATTGGGTCCAGCCCCCTGCCTAGGGGCAGGAAGTCAGCTAGGGTCAGAGGATCCCAGCAAGATAAGCATCCAAGCATTTCTTGAATGAGTCCAGAGTAGGTGCCTGCATCACTTCTGGAGGGAGTCTATTCCAAGTCTTGGGGCCTTAGCCCATAAAGAATTTTTTTCTTATGTCCAGCCTAAAACAGTCTTGTAAGAGTTTATGACTGTTGGTCCTTCTTTTACTTTGGGGTGCTCTGGTGAACAGATGTTCTCCCAGATCTTGACGTACACTCCTTATGTACTTATAAGCAGCCACCAGGTCCTCCGTGAGCCTGCACTTTTCCAGGCTGAAGAGTCCCATGGCTCTCAGCCTCTCTTCATAAGGCCCATTCTCTTGCCCTCTGATCATGCATGTGGCTCTCCTCTGGACTCTCTCAAGCTTCTTGACATCCTTGAATTGCGGAGGCCAGAAATGGATGCAGTACTCCAGCTGCGGCCTCACCAAGGCCGAGTACAGTGGGAGGATGACATCCTGAGATTTACTTGAGAAGCATCTATAGATGCAAGCCAGGTTTTTGTTTGCTTTACCAGATGCAACATCGCATTGGTGGCTCATGTTCATCTTGTGGTCAATCGTGACCCCCAAGTCTCTTTCAACAGTGGTGCTAGCAAGCGTAGCACTGCTGAGCCTGTGCTATTAGACCTAAGTCATTTGCAAGTCTGGGATTTGCATGCCCAAACTGTCTAGCATGTAAGTACCTACATTGTCTCTATGGTCAGAGCAGGAGGGAATGGTGGTATTGGGGCCCATGTTTTATATAATAACTTAGGGTAGAAATGGATGTTTCCTGATACAGTATTTGTGTTGCCATAAAACATTTTAAAGTGGTGCAAATGGCAAGCAAATAGACGTCCCTACCCTTTGTTGCACCACATCTCAGGATGCCTCTGTAAGCAGGGAAAGTTGGGGTTCCCTGCTTATGGAGACCTTCCCCTGGGATCTCCAGGGGCGCATTCCCATAAATGGGGAAATCCTTTACAGGTTCTGGCAACGTCTGTTTTTACCCTTAGCGTGTTGAGCAAAACTTTTATAGAGTAAGAAGGTGGTGGTTGAGAAGGAGTATGGTTTTGACTTAGGGATGAGGACAATGTAGAGACTGTTGGTCTAATAAAAGATGTTGCCCACAAACACTCCTACTTCATGCAGGTACTATGTATGCATTTTTGTCATTTAGGAATCATTGGATAAAACGTTCACGCTTCACTGGGGAATAAAACTCGGGACTCTGATGCTGCATACAAGTGCTCTTAACTCTGGCCTTCAGATTTTCATAGTTTTCATCATACAGAGAAAAAAAAGAAACCTGCATCACACTTACAGTCTCAGCAGTGCTATACTTGCTAGCACGAAAACTAAAAGAGACTTGGGGGTCATGATTGACCACAAGATGAACATGAGTCGCCAGTGCGATACTGCAGCCGGCAAAGCAAACAGAACTCTAGCTTGCATCTATTGATGCATCTCACGCAAGACCTGGGATGTCATCCTCCCGCTGTACTTGGATTTGGTGAGGCTGCAGCTAGAGTACTGCGTCCAATTCTGGGCTCCACAATTTAGGAAGGATGTGGAGAAGCTTGAAAGAGTCCAGAGGAGAGCCACGTGCATGATTAGAGGGCAAGAAAACGGGTCTTATGAAGAGAGGCTGCAAGCTATGGGACTCCTCAGCCTGGAGAAGTGCAGGCTGAGGGGTGACTTGGTGGCAACCTATAAGTACGTAAGGGGTGTGCATCAGGATCTGGGGGAACGCCTGTTCACCAGAGCGCCCCAAGGGATGACAAGGTCCAACAGTCACAAACTTCTGCAAGTTTCAGGCTGAACATAATGAAAAACTTCTTTAATGTCCGAGCCCCCAAGGCCTGGAATAGACTGCCCCCAGAGGTGGTGCAGGCACCTTCTCTGGGCACTTTTAAGAAACATTTGGACGCTTATCTTGCTGGGATCCTTTGACCCTAGCTGACTTCCTGCCCCTTAGGCAGGGAGCTGGACCCAATCTCATAAGATCCCTTCCAGCCCTAATGTCTGTGTCTTTTGATTTAGGTTCACATATGGTTCTCTATAGATTCTGAAAGTGTGTATTTTTTTCATACAGTATAAGAAGAGAAATGCTTGGGAAACTACAAATTGGCATCTGGTCTGACAGGAGTAGTGTCTGACACTGCTTTTAATTGATTTTTTGAAGTTGACTAGAACAAGGGTTCTGACTCTCCCCATAGTCCAGATTTGTGTGTTAAGAGTATTCCCACAAACTCTTATTCATAATTGTTGCACCTTTCCCATTTTAAATTATGTAATAATGCCTTTGTGACAACAACAATTTTTTATGTGGAGAATATTGAGGAACTGTTTGTCTGTACTTTCAGCTATTGCACAAGGAGGGCTAACCAGCCAATATCCTTGCATCTCTGAGTGCTTGCTCCATGGATCCCCAAATTTAAAACCCTAAAAGATATTTCATGTTGACACTTTCTGGTTTAAGGCAGTACTGTTGAAAAGCTCAGATTGCCTCACTACTTTTAGTATTCCTGACACTTCTGTTTTGACTTTATACTCTAACACTTCCAACTGAAAACTGTTTTTCAGAGCGTCAATCTGAGTTGCCAACACAAAGCAAAGCCAGCTTCCCCAGCATTCTCAGCGATCCTGACCCAGATTCCTCAAATTCTGGGTTTGACAGCTCTGTTGCCTCCCAGATCACAGAAGCTTTAGTGAGTGGTCCAAAACCACCTATAGAAAGTATGTATCATTGTTTGAATGTCAAATTTCTATAACCTGTGGTATAGTTACTTGATTGTGTTGTCTCAGGTTGTCGTTCTTTAGAGTGACTTATTGAGCAAGACTTGGCATTGCAGCTCCGGTATTATTGGGGCATCAAACAAATAGGTCTGCGTTTGTTGCAGATTTACAGTTGTCTGCAAATAAGAGGTCTATGGATAATCTCATCTGATTACTTCATACTCTGAATGTGGAAGATTATTTCTAGATTTCAAAGGGAGAAGATTCTGTGTTAGGTGGTTCATCTTGATGCAGTTGAAAACGCAGCTTTTTTTTTCACTGGTCACTCACTGCAGATCAGCCTCCAAAATGCAATTCAAGTTCTTGGAGCATATGTTTATGAATTATGGTCCGTGTACATGTGCCCCAGACACAAGACTAGATTCTTTGGCTAACAGTTCTGTCAGAGCCAGGTATGCATGGCTAATCTCTTCATGCTCCTGTGCAGGTTGAAATGGCATTCACCTTACCTCATGTCCCTCTTATTTCCTGTGGTGTCAAGATAGAACCTACAAATGTCCAATTGGCTAGACTCTACTGTCCTCTAATTCTTTCAGTCTTCCAAATTCTGTAATCACCCGTGTCTTATTAGCCCTGCCATTTAAATAGTCTTATGTGCATTCCCTTTCTGGAGTAAATATTCTCCTCAAAGTCAAGTAGAGATCCATTCCCTGTACAGTCCGTGCATGGTGCTATAGAGAGACCAGGCAGAGGTCAGCCACCCCCTGAGGACTGGTAATGGTCCATTCCAATCCAGTTGTCTCATGGGCTGTCTATAGCAGGATGCATCAGATGTCTCTTGTGCCTGCTGACCAGTTAAGACTTATATTTGGGATCTCAGCATGGTCTTTCTGCAGGTTATTGAACCTTCCTTCAGGCTTTTACCATCATTCCTTATGCTGCTTCTTTAACAAGGTAATCGTGCTAGTTGCCATTATACCACTTGGGAAGGTCGCTCATGTTCAAGCCCTCTTGGCTGGAATTCATCATTCCTTAGGGGTATGCTGGTGATAAAGCTGAATTCCAGGTTCATTCCTAAAGTAATTCCAAAATTCCTTCTGAACTAATCAGTCACCTCACTAGTCTCCTTGAAACAACATGCTGCTTCACGAGAGAAGGTGCATCCTCTGGATGCCTCTAGAGTTTATTCTTTCACAGTTCTATGTTGCAAAGAGGTTGGGACCTCTGTGTGAGCATATCAGGTGCCTGGAAAGCCCAGGTGATCTGATGCCAGTAACTTTCCAAGTGGATCATTCAGTGCCCCTTCACTTACTACCAAGGATCTGAGTCTCCCTCTGACTATTTAGGCATGCACCACTAGAGCATAAGCAACTTTGTTGGCTTGCTATAGAAATATACCAATTCTTGAGATATGTAAAACATCCTTGCAGAGCAAATGTTGACATTCATTAAACACTATACCCTTAACATGGCAGAAGGTACCAAATTTAGAAAAACATTATTGCAGTCCTTACCTGTCTGATCAGCTGTGAATCCTCATCCCATTTTCTAGAGGATGCTACAAGTAGGATTTGTGCTGCTTGCACGTTACTTGACATAGTAATGCTGGTTCCTCAGGGTGTTGCAGTTCATGGACCCAAAACCCACTCTCCATCCCTGCTTTTGGAATCCCTAGGTGTCAGGGAATTCAGACTGAAGGAACCAAGGGAGGGGCAAGGCAGCTTAACCCTTCGTGCCATTGTACAAAAGCATAAGGACCAGGATGGACCCTGCTAACTAACAGAATTTGGCCTTGTTTGCATGTGCTCTGTTTGCTCCTCTTGCAGGATCTGCCCCAGCTAACAGATCCCAACGACCCTCAGTGGTGCTGGTGATTTGATAGTAGCTTGCCATCCAAACTGAACCCAGAGCATTGTCAGGAAGGTGTGTGAGACCAGTTGTCATGACTATATGTGTGTGGGGTGGGGAAAGGACCACTTACAGCATGGATATTTTCACCCTTTTTAAATAAGAAGTTATTTTAGCCAAGTTCTAAAACAATTCACTTCACTTCTTTAGTCTTTTCTCTAGAGGAAAACTTCACAAAACTGTCTTCCAGGTCACTTTCGACCAGAATTTATCCGGCCACCACCTCCACTCCATATTTGTGAGGATGAACTGGCTTGGCTAAACCCAATAGAGCCGGATCATACAATTCAGTGGGATAAGTCGATGTGTGTTAAAAACAGCACTGGAGTAGAAATCAAAAGAATCATGGCTAAGGCTTTCAAAAGTCCCTTGTCTTCTCCACAGCAAACACAGGTGTGTATTATGCTCGGGGGTCTTCCTGTCTAATCCTTCCCGTGACTGTCTCTTTGTATCTGAATTCTGGGATTTTCAGTATTTTTTTTCCACTTGCTTCTAGGTGGATAAGAAAAATATCTGAAAAACTTGATGGGGAATGATGGGTGGAGACAGCAAATAACTGCCAGCTGAACAAAGGCTAAACTATATACTAAGTAACTAGCATCATCAGTCTTTCCCTGATTAGAAAACTGCAATAATGCTGTTTTAGGTTTGGTCAAGGCTTTCAATAGGATGGTTATTTAGAATCACCCAAGGGCCTAATCTTACCAGTATTATTGATAGTTACTGCTGATTTGCATCCACTAACCTTGATGATGCGTAAGGAAGATGTTCACCATACAGCTTGTAGACTAACTAAATAAGATAACACAGCATAAGCTTTGTGAACTTGAGCTCACTCTTCAGATGCTGTTCATCGGCGAGTGCAAATTGCAGGAGTTTCTTTTTTAGCTATTTACGTCTGTAAGGTACAACCCCACCCTGCTTTCTGCCTGACTTCAGGCTAAGATGGCTAACTACCTCTCTCCACACAGCTGTCCCTTTCTATATAAGACAACTTGTCAAAGTTACTTTTAGCAGCTCAGGGAGCATGCTATGATTTGGAGAGGAAGTAAAACACTTTGCTGCAAAAGAAAAATAATGTTTGGATGGTGTGGGTTGTATTTATTATTTTTATTATTAAAATACAGGACTATAATGTACCATACATTTCAAAACATAAAGGCATTTTGTACTTGCCTGCCCTAGTATTGAAATATAAGAAAGCAGGTCTAAAATGTATAAAGAGTATTTAATCCAACTGGCTAGTTATTTTCCTGTAGTTTAGACAGGTGGTTGTTTTGTTTGTTTGTTTGTTTCAATATACAGGATTTAACGCACACAAATTGGGTAGCTTTTTGTGTAAATAGTACTTTTGTGCAAGACAGAGCATGTTCAGAGAATAACAAAATCCAGGCCTGGCTTCTCTTGCAAGTCACTGGGTCAGCTGAGTCCCAGGTCTGCATGGTGTGGTTATGTACATACCTGGTTTCCTGCCTGTATTCCTATTAAGTTTAAAGGAAGACAGCAAATATAACTAGTGAATCTCTAATTACTGTTAGCTATCTGATTAGACTGGCTGGAAAGGGGGAATTGTACAGGGGTTCACAGTTTTAAAGTATGATAGAACTGTTTAATTTTGATGAATGAAGTAACTATAAAAACAACTAAGATACATATTTTTATTAGATGTCTCTTAATTTACTGCCTTGGTATGTGTACTGACGTTTCATTATTGTTAAATCTTCCTGTCGTCTTACCAAATGTCACTATTTTGAAGTGTAATATTGTAAGGGTTTTTAAACTTCCTGCTCATTACCTTTTTGGCAGCCCAACTGTGTCTGGTCACCTTCCCAAAAGAAAAGGGGGAGGGAAAATCTTGGTTAAAAGCTAAAACCTTGTTAACTTAAAAAGATTGTAGGGATGGCATTAAATAGAAGGAACTGAAGTCAAGATTTAGCGAAACCTTAGGAAAAAAGCATTGGGGTACAGGGCCTGTAATCAGTCCAACAGTTTCTAGCTGACCTACTCCAAATACCCATTTGGTCACTACGGTTTGAGTCGAACTTAATTTTTTTTTCTCCTTGTAGCTCCTTGGAGAATTGGAAAAAGACCCGAAGCTAGTTTACCACATTGGCCTCACTCCTGCAAAGCTGCCTGACCTAGTGGAAAATAATCCTTTAGTTGCTATAGAAATGTTGCTTAAATTAATGCAGTCCAGTCAGATAACAGAGTATTTTTCTGTTTTGGTCAACATGGACATGTCATTACATTCAATGGAAGTTGTAAATCGGTAAGTGTTTTTCATCAAATCTATTCATGAGACCTTGCATTTAGAATACTCTTAAAAGGGCTCCTGTAAAAGGAAATGAAAGCAGAATCTCTGTCAGTGTCTGGTGTTTGATTAATCATGGCTTTATCCACAATAATCCAGTCGCCTATGAAAGATGGTTAGTTTCCTTTTGCCCCAAGGCCACAAAAAGCATCAGGAATTGAGGAAATGATTAATTGTCAAGGATCATTGAAAAGGACTTGGTTGGCCTGAGAGCTTGTTCTTGAGCACAAATCAGGTGTTAAATTAATCTTCCCAGCCCTTCAGCACAAAACATGTTACCAACTGGAAGGCGGTTGCATTAATCTGACTGAGAACCCAGTTGAATTTATAGAAGCAGATTCACTAACAGTGAAATGAAGTGGTCTTGAATTGCCTGGCCTCTTGCCAAGAGTTCTTTGTTTCTACACTTGGAATTAATTGCATGCCAAGAGGCTGGGAAACCTTCTTTGAGTTTAGTGATATGAAGAGTATAATTTCTAACCAGTTCAAATAAATAAAAACACTTGCATGAAATGTCTCTAAAACAAATAAAGGCACTGTTTTATAGAAATTTTGCAGCTTGTCTTAAAACAAGGCTATCTGTAGTTGTGGCTTTGAATTTCATGCATGAAACTTCTCTGCTGTTTTGTCCTCCAGACCAGCATTTCACAACCTGTAGGTCATGACCCAGAAGTGGGTCACATGAATATATGAAAGGGTCGTGAAGAAAAATGGATCAACAGACTTGAAAAATGGATTCTCCTTTAAAGGAGAAAAATGTGGGAAACTGGCTTTTCCTTTGCAAGCTGGCAGAGTTCCAGGTTGGAGGGGGCTGCTTGGGGCTCTCCCAATGCCCTATGCTGTAGGGTGGAGGTGGGGGGCTGCAGGCTGGGAGTGGAGAGGCATTGGGTCAGGACTGGCCATTAGTATGCTACAAATGGATCCTAATACAAAAAAGGTTGAGAACCACTACTCCAGACTTTGAAGTCTGTCTGCAAGTTTTACATCCCAGCTCTGACTATAGACATGTGTATATAGAGTGACAGTCTCTTATTCAAAACTAGTGTGATGCTCCGCTGGAAGAGGTTCTATTCCTTTGTGCTTTAAATGAAAATAATGACAAACAAAAGCAAGTTTAACAATGATAAACTTAGAACTCAGGGATCGCCAACCTGTGGCATGTGCCACAGATAACAAGAACAGCTTCTGTATGTGGCAGATTGGGGAGGGGGCAGGCAGCACAGCAGCAGACAAGGCAGGGAGCAGGGGGGAGAGGTACAGAAAGTAGAGCTGCAGATCAGATGAGGGAAGGACTTTGGAGTAGCACACAGGGAGGGTACTGAGCTGTATTCATGGCACATCTGCCAAAAAGATGGCCTTCCACTAATCTCACATGGTTTCTATTTCCTATTTTATGTTGACCTTGACAACATATAAGGAAATGTCATTGTATGCCTAAGAGTAAGCATCCCTCATTAATGACTCACTTTATCTCCACAGTCCTTTAAATCAAATTCCTGCATGTTTGCTTGCTTCCTAATAGCCCTGCCTAGCTTACAGAAGTAGCCTGAATTGCAGTCAGCCAGTTTTTGAATAACAGCATTCCGATCCCCTTCCCACATCTGACCAGCATCTGTTTTCTGACCCTCTTCCTCCAACTCCTAACCCCATGCTTTCTGCCTTACCTGCCACCATGCTACCTGTCCCTTTCCTGATCTGCCACATGTAGAATTCCTTTTCTGGTTTGGTAAGTGCTGTAAATTAAATATTATTCATGAATCTGTTACAGAGTTGGATAAAGTAGTAGCATAAGGACTTAAATTTTGGTGTCTTTCAACTACTATGTTACCTTCCAGGTATTAGTTTCTCCCAGTTAAGTTTTAAGTTGTGCTTGCTAGAGTAGAGTGGAAGTGGCACCATTTGCTCAACAAATCCATTAATTTGACGTGCATGGTAAAACGTAGCTGCACAGGGCTAACAGCAGTTAAGACTAAGGAGCTAGGATCTATTTCAGCTTGTGTATCAGTAGTTCCAGTCAGCTACATGCAGTTATGATTTTCATTGTGGTACACAGGTGGGCATGAAGGCATCATCTAATTAGCAGGCTAGAATGTATTTTTGAGGGGGTGGGGGATTGACTGCAAGAAGCAGGTTGAGGGTAAGATTGCAATGCCAAAACTACTCATCCCTGACGCTAAAGAAGCACTTCCATAACGGTAAATTTGTGGTCTCATGTCTCACTTCCTCTCTTCCTTGCTGTATTCATATTTTCCTGCACACAATAAAATAGAAGTAGCATGTGAATCCCTTTGTTCCACAGTAGTGCCACTAGCAATAGAGGGGAAATCTAGTTTTGGGAGTTTCTGCACTAACTTTAACTCTAAGTGTCTCTTGAATCATGAGTTTTACTTCTAAAAATGTGCTTACTGAACTGCTAACAATAGCACTACAGTTGTGTATGCCATTACAAACTTGCAGAGCAAAGCTCTGTTGCCTATAACTGTTAAAAAAGAACGGACACGCAGATGACAGTACTAAGAACTTGGCTCACAACAGATAAAAGCAAAGTAATATACATAATAAGTACTTCAGTTGCTTATAACTTTGGTAAACTAGATACCTGAAGTTTTTCTTATGTAATTTGACTTTGTCTAGACTACAGCTGACTCTCCTGTTATTAGATGACAAAAAATGTTATTTAAGAAAGACTTCATTGCCCATGTCACAGTCTGGGCCATAGAAAGCTTTGCAAGTCCAAATACTGAGTTGGGTTTTGCGTTGTGTCATCATAGTAACCATTAGTTGCTTTAATGGATGGAAGTCCAGCCACTTTCGGATGACCTTAACTTTCCAATGTGTCTATAAAGATTTTGGTGTTTTTTAATTCGCCCTTTCCTGTCCACAGTTGCTTTGGGACTCATATTTTGCCTGGATGTTATTTAAAAAAAAAAAAAAAAAAAAGACTGGAAACCTGAATGTGTATCTAGGCTTGTCTAATTGGAGAAGAGAGACAGCAGTAAGCAATTGGCAGTAACAGGTCCTGTGCAATAAGATCACTTTTTGTCTAGTTTACAATCTCATTTACTGGACTAAAAAACCACTCTTAGTGTAGTTTTCCAAAAGGAGAGTTACTGCCAAATCATTTTGCTTTACATTCATACACTGACTAAGGTATTTTGGTATAACGTCCCTGTGTAGACAAGCCTTTAGTCTCCACACTAAAATGTTTTAAGTCCTTAAACGGAATTGTTCCAAACTCCTGTAGCTATGGAAGTCATTCTGAATTTTTTGTTGCCTGTCACTGTTTCTCCTAAATAGGACAGTAGTTGAAGCTACCAGTTATTACTAAATGAAGGTGGGTTCTGCATTCCACTCTTTTTGCAATAGAAATTAATTGGGTCACAACTGCCTGATTTGATCTAATCTTGCTCAAGAAGGGAAACCAATGACTAGAAAAATCTCAAGCCAAAACAGAGGTAGTCCAGCTGTGTATGTCACAAGAAAAAGCTCCAGCTTCAAGACTAGCTATTTGAAGATGAAACTGTATGAAAAAGCGTGTATTTCAATACTTGCTCCTGTTACTAGAAGAAGTAACTTTAAGTTCTCTTCATCTGCATGCAAGTACCCATCATCCACCTTCTGTACTGCAGAAGTATCTCTAAGGGATACTGTGATGAATACTACTTAGCATAGGTTTCTTGCATGGTATAGTATTTAAATAAAACCCGTCTGTTTCTTGCATCTATGAAAACACTAAGTGGGCATAACAAATGTTTGGACATGAGAACAAATTAACTTTTTGTGCATTTATTAATAGTACTTGGACTGACTTTCTGTTTATAAACTATTTGTTAATTTCTTATTTTGAACAGGCTTACTACAGCAGTTGATCTTCCTCCTGAATTTATTCATCTGTACATCTCCAATTGCATATCTACCTGTGAACAGATTAAGGACAAATACATGCAGGTGGGTGTTTGGTGTAGTGACTTCTTTCAGAAGAGAACTGAAGCTGTGTCTTGCAGTATAAGTAAGGGAAGAGCAGGCATATTTAAGTACTGAAATTTGACAAGGTGTTCTAAGTGAACTCTATTCCTGATTTCATTTCATTTCAAAGAATGGCAGCCTAGGAAAGGCAAACACTATACATTAAACAAGTGTTTCATACTGGTGAATATTCAGATACATGTTTTGTCAGCACTTTTACAAGGGGACACATGCTAAGTTAATATTCTGTAAAATAGCTCCTCATTTTGTCATTAGTAAAGTACTTCAAGCACACTTATGTCAAAGTTCGCTTAATACCCTGGTCTTCTCCAGGTATTAAACTCTTTGCTTGCTTGTCCTTGAGCTTTCAACTTCTGTTCTGCTTTGCCATTAGCACAAACTCATTACCAACATGAAGTAGTTGGTCACGGTAACTAAAATAAAGCATTCCATTTGAGAAGTTAGCAGCATGGAGTAGAAGGCACCTTGCATGTGTAAATCTTTTTAAGTAGCCTATGCATTCAAGGTTCCTGATTTTCTTCCCAGGGGGAAAAAAACTCTTTCTTTCTAGCATAAGCATCCTGCAGTAATTTCACTTAAGGCTCTCATTTGTCAAGTAATGCATCATTTTCCCTGAATATACTGAAAATGAAGAGTTAGTTAGTGGGCACGTCTACATGAGGCACTTAATGCCCATTGGACTGTTTCCTGTGCATTACCACAGCAGGCAGAAACCATGCTAATATGCAGATTAGTCCAGTGAGCATTAAGCATCACACAAGCGTTTGTTTGTACTTATGTGCAGTAGTGCTGATTATGGCACATTAAGTTTAGTAATTACAGCACATTAATGGACATGTAGACATGCCCAGTGTAAACTTTATCCTGGTTGGACAAAGCAATTATCCCCTGGATAGTAACTCCCATAGCAGGAAGCCCTAGGTTCTAGTTTTAACTCCTAGGACTGTCTCTGCACTTGGCAGGATTCTGGGTATAGGACATAAACAGTATTGACAGTTAGTGCTGGAACCTTGGGTCCCTTTACCCAGGGGTGTCCCCTCATCCTTGAGCTTGTCAGGTTTCTTATTGCTTGTACTGTGCTCCAATGAATCTGAACTTTGTCGAGTGGCTTTGTCTTACACTAGCCCTTAGTCTAGTGGTTAGGGTCTTCTCCAGGACATGGGTTTGAACTTTTTAAAACATTTGTCCAGCACTTACACATCACACACTGGTACAAAAAGCAGGCACAATCACCACTAGTTCTGTTTTGAAAATTCCTGTGTACTGAACTCCAGTGCTCTCTGAAGCATCTTTTGAGTGCCTACTGGATTGGATCCTTTTAAGGATTTAGGTACAGGGATCTTTAATGTGTGAATCCCAAGTGGCCTTAAATTCAGGAAAGGCACTTAAATGCCCAGAATTTCCAAAATGGGAGTGCCTCCAATAATGTTGGATCTTTTTGGCAAGCTGCTAAAGGACTTGTATGAAGCTCTTTTTGAACTGTCATCTTAAATGTAAATGTCTAAAGTATTTTGTGACTCTACTATTCTTAGGAATTTAGGGCATCTGTAGCAATACGGAAGAGGTCAGTTCCCTTCTACTTCTCAATGTCATAGGAAAATTGGCATGTTCAATTACAGCACTTATAGAGAGGCTGAATAGCTAGACTATATGTTTGAAGTAAAAGAGTAGGTTAACAGCTGTGGTTACTTTCTTGTTGCATAGATCACCTTTTAATTGAATTACCTGCACAAATTTTCTTCAGTTACTGAAATTAGACACTTTCTTTTTTCAGAATCGCCTGGTACGTCTAGTTTGTGTCTTCCTTCAGTCTTTGATCCGAAACAAAATTATTAATGTACAGGACTTGTTTATAGAAGTACAAGCGTTTTGTATTGAATTCAGCCGGATACGGGAAGCAGCTGGCCTTTTCAGGTTGCTGAAGACACTGGATACTGGGGAAAACCCCTCAGAGACCAAAGCTTCAAAGTAAGACCACTTGCCAGCTGGATTGTATTCTGTATCAGTTTTTTTTTGTATAGTAACAGATCACTGGATTCTTTGGTTTATTATACTATAAATAGCATTTTATGCATTTAAGCAAAGTAATAAATATTGCCTTTCTGATAGTAGGATATCTTGAATTTTTTTAAGCATAATTTATAGAAGGAAGAATTTTATTACTTTATTGTAATTACTTAATCCAAGCAGTCAGTGTGCTTGGAGGGA